ATCTTACTTTTTAGCTACGAAGAGCCTGAAACCATTATAAGAATGGATTATTTCTACTAAATAGGGGTTTCGTCCAAATTGGTAGAGTGTGAAGTCCAAAGAAGCAGTGAATGGAGACTGTCGGTGCAGTGCTGCCAAGATTTCTCGCTAGCCTTTCTGAAGGGATTTGGAGAGCAGGTTCCTACTGCTCTGTACCCAAGAGCTAGTGTCTCGGAGAGTCCCAGTTCCAGGTTCCTGACTTTGTTTCTGCATCACGAAAATCTTCTGCGTTGATTTTTCCTTAACTTTTCTCAGGATGTTGTTTTTCTTTTCTTCCTTAGGAGGTTCCACTCTGTTTGTTGAAACATCCCTGCGGCGACCCAAAGACAAGGAGAACAAGGATGGCTCCCTTGAAGTCACAGGGCAACTGGGAGATGTAATGAAAGAGAGTGCTAGAATAGCTTACACATTTGCAAGAGCCTTTCTGATGCAGAAGGACCCCAGCAACGACTTTCTCATGTCTTCCCATATCCACCTGCATGTGCCAGAGGTAAACTGATGCGGAATTCACAGAGCACGCGTAGCAGTGAGGCTGGTTTGCTCCACTAGACACGAAGCTTCAAAGCACTGCGTTTGTCTGTATGTTGTGCAGAATGTCCTCTTTTAGCAGTAAAACCTAGAAAGACATTTTCCTCAGGCTCCTGTGGAAGCATTCTTAGGAGCTATGTTTCCATTCCTTTCTGCACGTGGTGAGAATGCAGGGGCTTGGGTAACACTGTAAGGAAGCCCAGACTGCTCTCGTAGCTGTTGGCCCTGTTGCACAGATGCAGAAACCATGGCATAGAGATAAGCGATTTGGACAAAAGCTGGTCTGCAGCTACAAGGAAACCAAAGTTTAGGTGTCTGTGTTACCAGGCCTTCGTAAAGCCTTCAGGTCACACACATCGTTGAAAATACTACTCTTGATCTCTGTGCCATGGCTCCTGGTCCGTATAATGGCAGTGATTGCATTTTTGTAGTGTTTGGGACTGAAAAGAAGCGCACACACTGCTCCGAGGGGCTCACGCACTGTGTAACAACTGGCTTTGGGCGGGTGCTTACTGAAGACAAACTCTGTGCTATCGCTGTGCCCAGGCTTCGCTTCTGAACTGCCGCATGCTTTAACCCAGCCCGCAGTCTCCGCGTTGCAGCTTGCTCTGTGGCCGTCGAGGTACCTGGCGTTACCTGTGTGTGTTTCCTGGAGGACTGGAGAGCAGCAGGCGCTATCTCTGCCTCGGCTCCCTCGCAAACATTCATTCCTTTTGCTCTTACCTCAGAGATCCGTTTGGTCTCAGACAAATCCAGACTGTCACTAGTTCAGGCCTGGATTCTGTTGGGCTTTCTAAACTGAAGGATCTTTTCTGCCTTGGATGTTTTCAGTATTGTCCTCCACTATTTTGTGACTCTTGATGCTCTCTTCCCATGTGATGCTGACCTCTGTTCTTGTTTCCATGGCTGGCTTAGGTCAGCAAAAAGCTTCAAAGCATTCATGTTCTGTTTCTTGCTCATGTTGCTTATTCAAAGTCCGGAGCCTGATGAGTATTGTGGTGGCATCAGGCCGGAAACCAAACTGTAGACTCGGGGATTATTTCTCATGAATAAGATGAGGGGTGACATCGTCGCTAATAGATGGGCCGGTTCAAGTACCAGGATCCCATCAGTGACACTTTCACCACAACCTCTGTGTGACCCTCTGAACCTGGGGCCGTGTTAAAACAGCAGTGGCAGAGGTGTTGTCTGGCTTTGCTGCTCTTTGGATGAGCTAAAGGCGGGGAGGGTGTACTTTTTTTTTTTTTTCCCCTCAAACAGGGAGCCACACCAAAGGACGGACCAAGCGCAGGGTGCACTATCGTCACAGCTTTGCTGTCGCTGGCCATGAATTGCCCCGTGAGGCAGAACGTGGCCATGACTGGAGAGGTGTCGTTAACTGGAAAAATTCTTCCTGTTGGTGGAATCAAGGAGAAGACGATTGCGGTAAGAGCTCTTATCGTGTCTCTGTGCATCACCTGTGGGAGAGAGCCCTGGATTCGGCTCGGCGATGACTGGGACAACCAGCGTGATTGCTGGCGGCGGGGGAGAGGCAGTGATTCAATGTGTGCTGCAGAGACACCTGCGGGGAAGCTCGGGGATCTTGCCTGTGTCTCTGGCCATGAGGAAGGAGAGGGGAGCCCCGGCTTCGTGCCAGGGTATCGTGTTGGTCTAGTTACGAGACTGGTAGAACGAAGGGTGGAAGGAGGGATGATGTGGCTGTTAAAGCTGCCTTCCCTGTCACCGACTGGTGTGCTCCAGTGGTCTGTGCTGGGTTGAAGTGCCTGCTTAAGGAGGGCACCCCGTGTAGATTTGACGGTACCCATTAGGCGTCATCCTTCACATTAAGGCTCTGTTCCCTAGTTCCAGCTTGAATTTGCCCAACTTAAAAGTTTCACCCAGTTATCCCTACGTTTTTCTGGTTTAGATGGAAGGAACTTACTTTTACCGTCTGGCATCTTCCCCTGTGAAGTTTCTTTGTACATCATAATCAAGCTACTTAATAATTTTTTTTTAAGCAAGCTGTATAGACTGAGTTCTCTGAAGCACTCTTGCAAGCACTAGATTTATAGTGGTGCTTGCTGTTTTGGTTCCAGCCCCTCGCAGTGTTCAGAATTCTTTCCCAAGCGTTGAATCTATCTCCGTACTTCTCACCTGCGCAGCTCCTGCCTACCTCGGCCTTGCATCACACACCTTTTTGTCTTCAGGAGTGGTACTGGCTCTTTCAGTTGAGCTGGGGTTTCGCATCAGTGTTCTGTCCCCAAATTGGTTTGGGCTACAGCCTTGTGCAGCGCGATTCGTTTTCCTCACGAGGCTTTAAAATGGGTCATTTTACATTTCGTGTTGTGGTCGTCCCTGCAGAGGGACGAGCGCACGGTAGGGATGGCTGTGGCACTGGTGGCTGGCTGCACTTGCAGGAGTGTGAGTGGCCACACAGGGAGAAGTGCAGGATCACCCACAAAGTGAGTGGGAACCAAGCTGCCACTTGATGAGCGGGCTCCGCTTTCTGGACTCCTTTCGATGCAGACGTCCCTGTCAGGTTCTGCAGAACCCTGTACGTACCGATGGGGTGGGTCAGTCTGACAAGCTGTTTCCAATTCTGCCTTTGATTCTAGAGTTTATCCTCCCCCAGGTTGGAACAGACTTTTAAAACTCTGTAAAATAGTATGAATTGCTGTAACCAATCCCCTGCTGTGCTGACCTAGTCCTGCTAAACGCCGCCCCCTTCAGCTGGCCGTGGGAAGGTGGGACTGGAGAGCGGGCTTTCAGGGGCTGGGGAGAGCACGAGCTGTCCTTGGGGGCATCTGCTGTGAGTAACGCCCTTGGGGGCATCTGCTGTGAGTAACGCCCGTGCTGCGCCCCCAAGAACAGAGCCAAGCCAGATCGTGCTCCTAAACTGTTCTTGCTTTCTGAAACGGGAGCGCGTGTGTCTAGCAGACGGCTGGAGTTCCAGGACTGAGCAGCCTGCCTAACTTCCTTTTCCCCGCAGGCGAAGAGGGCCGGCGTCACCTGCATCATTCTGCCCTCAGAGAACAAAAAGGATTATTACGACCTTGCTGGATTCATTACGGAAGGACTGGAAGTGCACTTCGTGGAGCACTACAGCGAGGTATTCGACACGGCGTTTTCAAAGCTGGATTCCGCTGGAGGATGACGTTCTGCAGCCCGGTGCCTGGAAGGGGGTCTGTCCCGGAGCGCTCGGCCCCGCCCAGAAATGCGGTGACCTGGGGGCCCTCCCGCAGGGGACATGGAGCTATCGCTGCTGCGCAGCTGCTGGAATGAATTACGGCTTCGGTAGAATAAAGTGTGTTTTTCACCCTTTAAAACTGACTTATGATCCACATTAAGTATTTCCAATAAAACTGTGAAATTTTACCTAAGGAATGTGCATGTTACCAGCCCCCAGCAGTGGAGCTAGCCCAGCCTCTTAGAATTAAAGATTTTTCAGTAATTTCACTGTAATTTGAAGTACCTGCTTCTGGAAACATGCACTCTGCAGGCAGCGTGGGGGCACCGGTACTTGAGCAGCTCTCGGAAGCCTCTCCCTGCCTTGGTGTGTAAGCCTGTGCTAGGGGGGGAAACTGAAACCCCTCTCCAGCAGCTCAGCAGAGTCAGCGCCTCCAGATTAGATCCCAGGTCGGAACCACCCGAAGCAGCTCCGGGCTGAAAGAGAGAGCAAACCTGGGCGAAAGCGCGATGTGCTCAGCGTCAGCAGCGTCTGCACTGCACCCCAGCCTGTTCGCCACTGCAGCTCTGTTCTGGTCACGGAGTGGGAAGAGGAACTGAACATCTCAGCATGCCTGTCAGACAGTAACAAGCCCAGGCCAGAGACCTTGAGCACTTTCTCTTACGGCGAATGCTAGAAAAACTGAAATAGGGGGAACTGCAGTTCCATGAAGTCCAGCTGAACTGTATTTCTTTGTGCTGGAAGAACAGCACTTGCCCTGTCTCAGCAAGGTAGCCCTTAGTGGAGGATACGGAACCATCCCGCTGAAATCCAGGGAGCTCTGCCTGCCTGCGATGCTCTTGTGATTGGGCACCACGCTGCAGAAGGCAGGGCGGGAAGGGAGGGGGCAAGGGGAAACAGCTGCCCAAGGCTGGAGTGCAAAGTCGTTACCGTTTTCAACAGCAATTTTTGTCCACTGACTGCTCTGCCACCACCATCCAGGTCTGGAGACAGCCTGGGAGGGGGAAGGTAGCGCAGCCTTCACAGGCTTAGGTACTGCAGTTTTCCACGTCCTGAGACAGGCCAGCCCCCACGGTCTGGAGGAGGAGCACCCCCCCCTTCCCTGGGCATCACAGGCCCGTACCAGCAGCTGCAGGCAGAACAGCGCTGCAGGTCTGGGATTCCTGCAGGCGAGGGCCTTGTCGGCGCAGCCCCGGAGCAGCCGGCCCACCAACAGTCACTACACGGGCTTTGGGAGAAAGGACTTTATTGAGTGACAGAGCACAACTCAATCCTTCTTCGCAGCGGCTTTCCGCATGGCTGCCAGGACGTTGCTGAGTTCTTCCCGCTTTCGCTTGGCCCGGATGTGAGTGCCGACCTGCAGGGAGGGAGCAGCGCAGTCAGCATTCACCCCAGCACGGCCGCTTCAGGCAGCCACTGCGGACGCTTCGCTCAGCAGGCGGGCGGGAGGGTGAAGTCCTGGCAAACACGGACTCAGACCCCATCCACCTCGACCGGCCCAGGAACTGCCCGCCATCCACCTCGGGAGTACTCCCCCTCGAGAACTACCCGAGGCGAGGCAGCAGCTCGCTTCAGCTCTCCCCCCCGCCATGGCACGTCGCCTGGCTGGCGGCACCCACCCTCCGTCAGCATCGCTCTCCCCTCCCCTGCCACAGATTGGCAAATAAGGCAAAGCTAGCGAGGCGCGTCTGGATTCCTGTAGCTCAGGGCCTTTTCAGCAAGGTACCTTTCCATCCGCCTCACGCTCTCCCACCCAACCCACGGAGCATTCCCCTCCGCTCCCTCAGATTAGACCAGTAACTTCCCAAACAATTGGAAAAAATAAAAGAATTAATTAAAAAGCAAAGTATTCCTAGGGACGCGCAGGAAACAAAGTTAACTACAGCAAAGTCTCTGCTGTCCTCGTTAAAACGTCGCATTGACCTACCCGTTTCTTTATGAACTTCAGAGCACGTTTATCTTTGGAAACCTTCAGCAATTCCATAGCACGTCTCTCGTAGGGTGCGAAGCCGCAGACCTCCCTGATCATGTCTCGCACAAACTTGGTGTGTTTGGTCAGGCGCTACGGGAAGAAGGGGGAGAAAAAATCAAAACACAGATCACATGGACTGCAAGTGCTGACCTACCCCGACTGGGCTGCAAAGGGTGGTGGCGAACGCCGGGCTAAGGCCCCAGAACCAGCCCGTGCTGTTAGCGGAGTACGATCCCCCGGCCGGTGCTGGGCAGCAGGGCGAGCTCGGCGAGGCCCGCTGCCGCTCTGCATTTCGGCCACAGGACTTTTAGAAAAATCAGGATTGCGAGATCTCCAGGGCGTGCATTGCTCCGCACCTCCAACACCACAATTAAACACGGCACTTAATCAAGGTGGGACAGAAGATGCGAACTGGATTAATCTCTCGCGTTCACACTCACTGAACCTGGGTAACTCCCAGTACCGGTCATTACCGGGAAGCTTGGTGGGTGCCGTCAGCAGTCACCCAGCCCCTTCTCTGCTTCGCTGTTAATTCCGCGTGGGTGAAACGCGGCCCTCTTCGCTCCCCCGTCACAGACTGCTCCGCTGCCGGTTCTCCTGCGCCCAGCTGCTTCGTCCCACGCCCGCCCTGGCAGGTTTCACACTTTCCA